CACCACCTTTTAGGGACTGGCTTAACGGTCTAACTAGAGATCTCTAAGCCGTATACGAACGCGACCTTCCTTGGCAGAAAGGAGGCGCAAGCGGCGAAAAGCCGCTTAGAAGTGGCCTAACTAAGGCAGATTAAGGGATGTGTTATGTCGGCTCGGCCTGAGCCGCCAGGAGGCAGTTCAGGTCAGCCGAAAGCTTGTTGGGGGGGTCCGAGAGAGAGTTTCTCGGTCTGCGCACACTACAGCGAGTGTTGATAGGGGCTGCATAGGCAGCTGTCTCACGAATGAGATGATTTGGGTGGGACTCTGAGGCTTTGAAAAATCTATCAGAGAGTGATTTAAGGAACTGCTGGATTGTTGGGAGCTCTAAGTCTCGGTGTAGGTCGGCATTACGGACATAATAGGGTGAGTTAGTGGCCCTACGACAGAATAGATTTTGAACTATTTGAAGTTCATTTATAGCTTTGGGCTTAGCATGTGCGAAAATGGGGGCCGCGTAGGTCATTACAGGTCGTATGCAGACCTTATATGGGGTTCGCTTGTTGCGAAGGGACATTTTACTGTGCCTGCCCAACATGCTGTTGAGCCTACCCATGTAAAATCGTGCGGTGCGAGTAACCTTCTTGATATGGGGTTCGAAAGTGAGCCTAGCATCAAGGGAGACGCCTAAATATTTGGCTGTAGTTTGCCATGGGACAGGGGTTCCTAACGTCCTGATTGGCGAAGTGGTGGTGAGACGGCGTCGTTTATATTCGAAGTAAACGGCGGAGCTCTTCTCCGGGTTTACTTATTTATATTTATATTTGTTATTTTTGTAACCAAGCTCCTATGTCGCTTACTGACTTTTGGATCTTGTTCCGAATCTGTGGCAGTGAGTTGCCTTTAGAGTAAAGGGCTGTGTCATCTGCGAAGAGGGCTAGTTTAACACCATTCGACGGGATAGGGATGTCGTTGGTGAATAGTATATATAGGAGGGGGGCAAGCACAGAGCCTTGAGGGACACCGGCTTTGATTTGACGAGTAGAGGATAGCGTGCCTTCGTGTCTAAAGCGAAAGGTACGATCCTTCAGATAGGAGGCTACAAGTCAAACGAGACGGTCAGGGAGGCCTAAGTCGTACAATTTGTAGATAAGGCGCTCGTGCCAGACTCTGTTGAATGCCTTGGCAATGTCGAAAAAGACCGCGATGGTTTTTTGACGACGAGAACTTGCTAGGGGCACGAGTGTTTGGCTCAAAAACCGAATTGTTGTGGGATGACAAGAGGGTCGCCGTCTGTGGGAGACAAATAACGCCTCATGCGCACGAGAATGACTCGTTCGAAAAATTTGCCCATGGCCTTGAGGAGGCTGATGGGACGGTGATTGGAGGGGAGGTGGTGAGGTTTGCCTGGCTTGGGAATGCCAATAACAGTTGCCTTTCCAAGAGGTTGGAAAGTAGCTGAATTCGAAGCAGGCGTTGAAGATTATGGCCAATATGGCGATCACCTACTCCGGAAAGTGTTTGAGGGCTTGGTTGGAGATGCCATCCGCACCCGTTGCTTTTTTGGGCTTAAGTCCTTTGATGGTAGATGAAATCTCATCTTTGGACACAGTGATAGGGTGGTGGGGGCGAGTTCCGGCGACGGACCTCGTCCTCCACTAGTTGGATGTGTATGGGGTCAGTGGGTTGTGAGCTGGGAGAGCATTGAGCGGCGACGCTGTCGGCGAATCACTCAGCCTTTTCTTCGTCCTCGAAGGCAATGGAGCCGTCGGGACGAGACAGAGGGGGAGTATGCGTTATAGCGTCTATCCGGAGGGCTCTCACCATCTGGCAGTACGCTGTGTGGGAGGGAGAGATTTTCTCCATGAGCTTGCCCCTTTCAAGGTCTCTGTAATCTTGGAGGCGGTAATAGAGTTTGTGTTGAAGGCGGTGGGCCGCGAGTCTATATTCGGGAGTGGGATAGCGTACAGCTCTACGGAGGGCAGCTTTTTTTGGCTTTTAGCAGGTTGCTAATATCTAGGGGAAGACTAGTTTTAGCAACCGGGACAACCTTTTCATTCTCTTTAAGAGAGGATGTTATAAGTGAGGTGAGATTTTCGACCGCGGTGTCTATTTTTCCCGTACTGTCGAGGACGTCGGAAGAAAGGGTTATGGGAGGGTCCGGAGAGTCTATAGCCGAGGCTAGAGACTTCTTGAAGCCCTTCCAGTTGGTGTAGGTTTTTCCCTAACCCTCTTAAAGTTCTTTCTTTCCCTCGTATTATTGATTAATATGATTTTTCTTGTAACACAACATGGTAACCTTTAAAAGATGTTATACATAATATCACTGCATGTCGCAATGTAGTTTCCATTGTCACCGATGTATTCCGACATATTCTTGGTGGACTTTGAGGAGAAAATACTTCTTTCTTCTCTTGTAATCCAAGATTCTACAAGCGTTACGTAGACGATACTTTACGATTCTGTTTTTAGAGCATCTTTACTACGTGAATTCTAAAATTTAATTTACAATGGAGTCAGAAGTAAATAAATCTTTAATTTTTCTAGATGTTTTTGTAGTTCTCAATCCCGTTAACACCCTGAGCCACAAAAAAGACCCATATGCACGCAACATTTTTACAGATAATTTCCATGGGAAAATGCTGCTGTTTTGCATATGTCAGAGGTATCAGTTATTAACAAGATTGGTTACATGTTGAAGCGAGCTTCTATATGTCACATACTTGAGGTCGTCCCTTTGACGGCTTGATGATAAGTCTTTTTTTAATATCCGTTAAGTCTTATAACCCTCTACAAGACACAGGAATGTAAAATTTTGATTGTGAATATGATTCTTATTACAAAGGGCGAACTAAGAAACCAACGAAAACCCGCATTAAAATAAAACATATAAGCTAGACTCGGAAGTTAAAAGCACTTAAGTCAAATCTTTTTGCATGCAAAAATTATTTATTATATTATTTTACAGGGGAGGGTTATATTCGATTGGTGTGAAAAAAATGTAGTACGGTTTTTATTTTTATTGTTTTTTATTACATAATCACGAACTAGTAACACGTTAAATTTAGTATATATCAAACTTATTTATTATTATCTGAAATATCTGACTTAAGTTTTGCGCATGTGATGATGCACGTGATGACGCACATCATGTGCGCAAAGAAATCGCAACTTAAGTGTTTATTACTGTACCATACAACTACGTAGCTTATTAATGTTTAAAAATATAAAAATGAACTATCAATAATATTTAATAATTATAATAATGATTATTAGTTAAGTTTTTATAATAAACTAAAAGCTACTTTCTTCAGAATTTGATATATCTGGATCAACGTCAGTTGTGTCTGTAGCAGTTACTAAATTCCGGTAAAAATTATGGAAACATTCCGGTATTAAAGATAAAAGTGATATTGTGTCACGTTTTTTTTTTCAATGCTTATTGGTACCGGCTTTGCAGTAATCTGCATCAAATTAAATTCCTTTTCTCGTCGCGTATTCCGTTTGAAATTAATGGTATTGAAACATTCATCTCTTGACAGACATTTTTTGTATTTTATGATGCTATACTCAGCTTCGTAATACAGCTAATACAGCCACTTCACATCATGCCATTTGAAAATATTTCCATCATCGGCTTTTTTCGGACTACTAACGACTCTTTCAATAATCCAGCGAAGTCAAAAAATCTGCTTGCCGCATTTTTTTAACTGTAAATGTTTTGCTGCTCGATCTGACTAAATGCATCCAATCATGTGGATGATAAATTTTAATTTCAATTTTTGTTTTCTATAATTGCATGGTCTAAGTCCACCTCCATATGTGTATGACCAGGTACTATAAATTTATGATCTATTAACTTAATAGAGGGTTTTACTGACAATAAGTAGGTAAACAAATCAGCCACATGGGTGTTCTTATTTTGTCCTCCGCAAGTATCAGAGTACAAAATTACTTCTGAAACTTCTTCAGGAAGTTCTTTTAAATATAAAACAAACAAGAGGCTATTTGGCTCCTCGACCCGAAATTCCCTCATGCCACATGTGGTGCGTTGACATTCCAGTTCCATTGTCATGTATCGTAAGATTAAAGGTCCAAAGTTGTCTTTTGTAAAAGGCTACGGATGATTGCAAAGCTGGGGTTGGCAAGCATTGTTGTAGGTCAAAAGACAGACACTTGATGTTTTATCTGTAACTGCGGTATTTTTGTCAAATTTCTTCTCATTGTAAGCCATATCAGCTGCTAGCAAGTGTGCGTCCCGTTCTGTTTAAAGAGCAGATTTTTTCGTCTCGTCCGTAGCAATGTTTAATTTCATTTTAAACAGGTCGCAAGTGTAACATTTGTCCACTTTTGGTTTTTTGAAACTTAAATATAATTTGTGGAGTTCTCTACGGCAAATCTTGTCACTTACAGGATTTTTATGTGAAGTTGAATAAAGAGAATACATTTTTGATATTATCAAATGCGATGGTAAATATTTACGGGTGCTTTTGCGTCTAGTGTAGTGGCTTTCATAAAGCGGAAACGAATTGATATGATTAATCACCTCTTCAATTTTATGTTCAGAATGTTTGTTCGGTGGTGTGTCCTTCCCACGTTTGTCTGTTTTTATAATTCCACTTGAGCGTTTCTTCAACCCGATTAGTTTAACAAAATTATCACTTATTGATAGGGTTTTTAGAAAACACCCTTGACACACCGATATTTTTTCACTATTAACTTTGAAATGATACTTGTAAGTGTGCTGTCTACATTTTTGTTTGTCAGGATCTTCGACACGAAGACGTTCAGTTTTTTTTCTCTTGGATAGTGAGAAATAAATAGAGTATAGATAGATCAAAGATGAAATGAATGCTGCCCTTAAATCGTAAGACCCAAGATTCCAAACCTCCTTGTGTATCAAAGCGTGCTTTTATCACTTATTTTCCGTCGGCACTTATTCCGACAGTTAGGTAATTCCTTCATTTGACGTTTTCCAATAGTTTTCCCAGGAGCTGTCACATAGGATTGGCCAAGATTTCTTTTTATTTGTTTTCTTGCTTCTTTTTTCTACAGGACACTGGTTGGTTTTGTTGTAGCAAAGAAATATCTTCAATGTTTTCAGGTGTCTCATTATCCGGCGTTATATGCATATCCACTGATACATTGGGAACAGCAATTTCCATTTCTTTATGTTGTGTAAGTAAGCTAGGACTGCCCGGAGAGTAGTTAGGATCGGCCACAGAATCATCACTAGAAAAGTCACTTACTGTTTCATCTAAAATAGTTTGTTTTAGGGTTCCAGGTGTACTTGGTTGTGGATTACTGAATGGGTTTTCGTCACCTGTAAAAAACAACAATAATAAAAACTGATAACAGATTGGAAATTTTGATGTTTTTAAATATAAAAAAAAACGTTCTAAAGAGGTGTGGTAATCTCAACTAAAGCTATTAAACAGTTTTGCATATTACCCATTGTAATAAAATGATAAACTAACGTTCACATCAAAAAACTTTTACCCCGACACAAATTACTGGGATAAGAGCAGGAAAAAGAAGTTCACAACATACCTGTATTCTCATTCATTGCTGCACTGTCATTATTTATGGCGAGATTCACCAATTATCTGGCCCTTGAATCCATTGCAACACAGTTAACTTAACGTTAACGTAACTACACCACCACCGTCATACAGATACAAATAACAACTATTGAAGAAATGTGTATTTCTTTTGACTTAACTAAAATTTAACACTTTATCAGACCCTTAAAAAGGGGGTAGGTACTTGAAAGTATTATAAAGAACAAAAACGGACCATTATAAAAATCACTTAAGTCAGTCAGCTTGCAGTATAAAAAAACTTAAGTCAATTTAAGTAATTTTTGTCGTCGCTCGATGTGTTGATAAAACATAAGTTATATGGTACAGTCGGCTGTTGCGTCTAAATTAAGCGTCGGAGACTTACGTGCTTCTTCCAGTCGACGGATGATACAAAAACACGATTGTTGTGACTTTTTAGAATTTAGCGCAAAAATTGACTTAAGTACTTTTGGCCGCCGTGTCTAGATTATATCTGACGTGAGGAACTGACAGACGCTCCTTGAAGTGTGCAGTTTTTAAAAACGTACAGAATCGAGTCCACAATTGCATCATACGAGGGTGGATTGAAAAGTACTCGGCCTAACCAAGAAAACACATACTAAATCAGTTATATTTTTATTTTTCTACATAATCACCATCAAGTTCAATACACTTTTGCCACCTCCCCTTCCAAGCATTTAGACCGTTGAAAAGAAATGATTCTTCCTTAGAGTCAAAATATGCGTCTACAGCTGCTTTGACCTCGTCGTTTGTCGAAAATCTTTGACTCCCAAGTGCTTTTTTAGGTTAGGGAACAGAAAGAAGTCTGATGGTGCCAGATCAGGTGAATACGGCGGATGCGGTAACAGTTCAAATCCACAGTTGTGAATTTCAGCCATTGACTGTACTGACGTGTGAACACGGGCGTTATCTTGATGAAACAGGACTTTTCTTCTGAGCATTCCTCGACGTTTTTCTTTTATTTCCTCTCGTAAACGACGTAGTAAGGTGCAGTAGTAATCAGAGTTTATAGTCTGACCCCTTTCAAGATAATCAATCATAATCACACCATCACCTTATTTGCCGACAAAATCGACTTAGCCTTTTTAGGGGGTGGTGAACCAGGTCTTCTCCACTGTTTTGATTGTTGTTTTGTTTCCGGTGTACAGTAATGAACCCATGTTTCGTCCATAGTAACAAAATGATTCAAAAAATCATCTGCATCGGCTTCAAATAACTCCAAACAATCGCGTGAAACAGTCAATCGCGTCCTTTTTTGTTCAACTGAAAGCAGTCGCGGAACCCACCTCGCAGACACCTTGTGGAAACCCAACTCGTTGACAATGATGTTTTGAGTTCGTTCATAAGAGATGCCTATTATCTCGGCTATCTCTCTAATTTTTAATCTGCGGTCTCCCATTATTAAATCAAGTACTTTTTTAATATTTTCGTTCGTCAGTAGTTGACGTCGAAGGCCTTCCAGAGCGGGGTTCATCTTTCACACTCTCTCTACCACGCTTAAATTCTGCTATCCAGTTTTTGACGGATAAATATGACAGAGCACAATCGCCTAATGTACTGACCATGTCATCTTGGATGGCTTTTGATGAAAGCCCCTTCTTATGGAGGTACTTAATGACGGCACGCTGCTCGATTTGCTCCATTCGCAGAAATTATGTCCGATTACTTTGTTAATAAATTTATAAAATCACAACTAATTATCGCACACGTTTCGAATTTCACACAATGAACTAGTCTGAACTGAACTAAATAATGTGAGTAGATTTGATTTTTAGAATTGAATGGATCTGTGTTAGGCCGAGTACTTTTCAATCCACCCTCGTATTTGATAGACCATAAATTTTTGTAAAAGGGTATCGATTCCCACTATATAACTCTGTGCTAAGGTCTCCTTAGTATCAATAAATAATAAAATTAACTCGTAACACAATCATACTTCTGCAAGACTTAAAAGATATTGTTAGTTCTTTTGCGTAGATCGAATTAAAATTGGTACTTTTAAAGTGGAGGTAGCTGTGGTTAACTGTGATATTATATTATAAGGCACAAGCTACTACTAGTACCAGTTACTCGATTCCACCGAATCAGTGACTCATTATTGGGGCGATGTATACGCTTTTAAAATTTATTAAACTAAGTTTGTGTAAAAAGTGTTATTATAATATTAAGGAATTTAGGGATGATAATAACCCCTGGGAAGGGTGATCGCTACCAAGCTATTTCAAATTTGTTTTGTGTTGTTAATTGTAACATATATGATTGTAAGCTGTTATTTTTTTTAAATAGTCCCGCTGGGTTTCTTGCTGGTTCTTCCCAGGACAGAGATTTTTCCCGAACCAGTGGTAAGGTAAATTAAAATAAAAGTGACTTTCAATAGGTATAATTTGTAATCTATATTGAATAAAAAAAAAGTTTCTATTTCTGTTTTTATAGGTTCTTCGAAAATTTCAGTCCTCTAGTGACCGTGGGCTGGAATTTGGATTCAAGGTCGCCATTTTAAAATAGTATAAAAACTACGATACTTTTGTGATTAATATAATATGTAATTATGTTATAATTATGTCAGTATATTTTTCTTTTACTTTTTACCGGTAAAATATCCATTTCTCGAATAGAGTAGCATTATACTGTTATATATAATGCTTAGAGTAGCGTATGGTGAGTGATATAGTTTTAGATACTTTTATACTGTGATATATTATAAGATTATTACTTCTCTCTGCAGTGTCTCTTAGTGATAAGTTAAGGGAAACACTCAAATATATTGATTTTGACCTTGTCTTATTATTTACATCTGTACATATTGAAATAAATGTGAAGTGCTTGGATAATATTACACTTATAATTGAATGTTATGTATTTATGCTAAAAATAGAAAACAAAACCTCATCTGACTATGAGCCTTTTACTAGATTTTATTAAAGATAATAAAAAAGTAATAAGCCACCGAAAATTATAACCGATAACAAAGATCGCAAACTACAACTCTACTTCAAATTTAAATTCTATACCAGTAAATGATATTAAACACCTATACGCGTGTTCAAAACTATACAGCAGCAGTTGGAGCAACATTAAAACTAAATTTAAGCTTCTTGAGAAAACAAATGCATAATGTACATAACTACGTTTAAGCCTTGGAGCGTCTGAAGCGACGTGTAATGTGCATAGTAAAGTTGCAAGTGGGCTGTGTAGACAACTGCAACTAATTACCAAACAACTGCTATTTTCCGTCCGCTGAGAAGTTATTTACAAATTTAAATATAATACAATTAGAAAAAAACCTTAATTATTTTAGTACGTTAGGAACCTTGAAAATTCCCTTTTCATTAATATCCTAGAAAACCAGTCAGTCAGTCACTAAGCTATTCAGTATTGTCGAACAAATCTTGGTCTTACGTCTCCAATCGTATCTATAACTTATAATGAACAATGCAATTAAATATTCAAAAATGCATACTATTTTTATATCTATCTATCTACAAACCTACATTCCGCTTGATGGATACCAGAAGCCGACTTTAAACAGAGAGGGTACAGGTGCGTTTTCACCTCTGACTAAGATTTGATAAAATTCGATTGCTCACAGCCTGCAATTATACTGTCTTTCATGTAATTATACATTGAGAACAAACACAGTCGTGCGCTCACTGCTCTTTGGCGCCAGAATTAGGTAAGAGATTGGTAAAGGCGGACTCTTACGCAGAAAAGAAGCGCTGTTACGCTGCCATCTGGCTCCAGATGTAAAGAAATCTAATCCCATTTCAAGATCATTGCGCGCTGGTAGAAGTGCTGGTGAAGATGCAGGAGAGGATACTCCCCAGAATTAGCTTTGTGTAACTGATATGCATAACATAACTCCAAAGTCCCAAGCAGTTTATGAATGCACTCTGACCGCTACTTCTAGGTTTAAATCATTATTATCATCATTATTACAGCCCTTTACATGTCCACAGCAGAATATAGGAATATGGGCAGCAAAGTTTTTCAATAGCAACCTCGTACCAATAGGCATAGTGTAAGGTCCACTTCCCTCCAAACGGGTTCCTACCTTGTCGTGATGCGGAGGGGGTGGCTTAGTAGCCGTGGCTTGTTCACCTGCGGTAAACAAAAAGGGAGCCAATTGGCTGACTCGAGGTGACCACTCCGAGTGGGCTTGGCGAGCCCACTTCGGAAGTATGTCTGTGAGCTGTGGCGAGAGTGATGTACTCTCCCCATACCGCTGCAACCGTAGTGAAATCGCGGGGGAAGATGAATGTTGGTATGGCGATGCGCCACTCGCCCTATCCTCCGTGTTTCTGACGGGGCCGTACATTTGATGCGGTGGTGGTTAGGCTGCGGGTGATAGGAGTATTGGTATAGTGAGGCGCTGCTTCGAAATCAGTCGAATCTTGGTTGGCGACGGGGCCATAGACCAGATCCGACGATGAGGTCAGGAAGGCTGATGCTTCTGAATGCACGTTTTTCCTGGCCCTATGACCTTCGCGTATCGGGCACAGGGACGTCCGTTGAGCAGGTGTAGTTGGAAAACGTGGTGGAAAGCACTCCATGTGTTCTGGAGTACCTTACATAAGAAGGAGATGAGAGAGGAATAGTCCTCTTCCGACAAGACGGTCAACGGGCGGCCGGCACTAGTGGGGCTGTGGATGTGTGCGAAAGCGTACCCTGCCTATATGCGCCGAAGGTGGAATACCATGGGGTTTTAGTCGGTTCAAGTCCGAAATTGCCCGTCCTTGCCCTCGCGAGTTGGGTATGCATAGTATTTCGCATGTTAAAAAAGGGCGACCCCCCATTAATTTTAATATTTAATGCCCTAACCAAGCAAAAATTTAATAAATGATGTTTTTTTATTTAACTTAGGGAAATTCTACTTTACGTGTAATAAACGTGTCAAGTTAGCATAATATATACACTGTTTTATGTAGGTTATGTTAGTACTTAGTGTCTACCGTATTTACATCAAAACTAAAGACCAAGAACTCCA